ACGCGAAACGATTTTTATGTACATTTCCGATACGATAAATGAAAACTGGAACAATTTACCTGGACCAGTCCGAGGTAAATAACTCGACTTCCCGCTCGCGGGAAAGAAAGAACACGATTCGATTCGCGAAATCCATTTGCGACGGATAAAACTATCCGCGGATTGCGACGTCTCCGAGTAACATCTCTCGTATCCGCACATATTGTGCGCGCGGACATGAGAAAAGGGATCGCGGTTGAAAGAACTTATCGTGTTGAGAGATCGCGAGCATGCGGAGAAGACCTGTACATGGAACCCCGTCGATATCGCGGATTCCTGCGCTGAAAGCATATACCCGGGTGGTGGTGGTGTGTATGGTCGCGCACATTTGAGAGAGAGAGAGAGAGAGACGCACGTATGTGCTCCCAGCGGATGCGCTCTCTCGCGACACTGAGAAAAGGAGGACACGTAGACACGAGTGCAAGCGAGGGTAGACATTTCTGTGTATATTTTATTGTGCACATATTGCTCTCCGCCAAGCTGCACGATATACACGAGCGCCATGTCAAACTCACACCGACGCGACGTACCTCTCGCTAGGGACCCTCCGGGTTTCGGTGGAGAGGAGAGATCGTACGAGTCGTGGTTGGGCGAGGTCGAGGGAGAAAAAGCGAGGAGCGCAGCGCGTGGAGAGGTCGACGGCGGTGGCGTGGAGAGCTCGATTTTTCCGATAGCAAATTTTGCTCTTCGCTTTTTCCCTCCCGAACACCAACGCCGGAGCCACTGCCACCGATGCGTCCCCACCGTCAACCACCACCGCCTTCGCCTCTCTACCCCGGCGGCGGCTCCCGGGTTTCCCCTTCCGGCATCGCACCCTGTTTCTACCCTCTACCCCTCTGACATCAACGACCTATTCGTTCCTCCGCTCTCGTCGCGACGGCCCAGACTCGCCCTCTTTTTTCTCCCTTCTGCCCACGATCGCTCCCGCCACGGCCTTCCTCTCCCTTTACCTCCCCTTCGCGCCCCCTCGCTTTCCTCTCAATCACCATCTGCTTCTCCGCCTCCACCTGGCGCGGCCCGACCGATCAAACCAGTGGCACTGCAGACACAATAAAAACGGGAAAAAAACCGGCGGCTGCGCACACATTTCGCGCAGTTACTCTCTCTCCTTCTCGCTCGCACGAATAAGGGATGACGGGATACCGGACGCTTTTGAGAAGTTATTCATGAAGCGCCCGACGAGATTCCTCGAGCGCCGCGTATTTTTTTCCCTTTTTTTCCAGACGCGACGCGCAACGCTCTCGATAAAAAATATCGAATCGTACGGTTTTACAGACTCGTTCGTTCGACCAAATCGCTCGACGATTTCCTCGAACGCATTTCATTGCTTATATTTCGTATCATTCATCTCGATGACGAGTCGAAAACTCGTTTCATCCGATACATCGGCGCGAAATCACGATCGGTCGATTATTTTTTTTTTTTTCCCTCCCCCGAGCGAAAGATGGAGCACGCGCCAACAAGGGACCGAACGGGTATTGACCATCCGATATCGATATTTCGCGACGCTTTATCGCGGACATGCTCGTTAAACCGATAAATGAATAATGAGCGCACTGTATATGGGATGGATATGGAGAGACAAGCGTCCGGGGGGGGAGAGGAAGGAAGGGAGATGGGGGTGGAGAAAGGGGGTGAGAGACGCGAACCAGCGAATCGAACAAAACAACGAAATCGAATCACTCGTGGTGGCCGCCCGTACTTTTCATGCGTGAATTTTCCAACTGCCCCGACACGTACTGCAGCTGCGGAATCGCCGGTAATAGCGTTAGTAAAATCGAGAGTAATGCCTGAAAGCGTTTACAATACGCATCGCTTCCTGCAAATAAAAACGTGGGACGCGCGTGATCGCCATCCAGCGCAACAAAGCGCGACCGCGTGGTCATCATCATCGGCCGATGACACACGACGAAACGGGTCAAAATCAAACGATATCCCATCGCGCGTTATAACGCGGTATTTTCGATTCTCTATAATATCACATGCCAAGGGAAAACGATAAAAATAATAATACCGCGGATAAGGTACATTGACATTTGCTTTTTTCGTCTCGTCGAATATATATATATATACTTTCGCATTAATCTTTCAACAGTCACCTAATGCGATTTATATTTGTATAACGTCCAATAATTACATACGAATAATATTACAGTCGATCGATCGATCGATCGATCGCGAAATAGACTATTTTCTTGACATTTGTATCGTGCATATTTGATACCTCGTAAAACTCTTTTTCCCCCGATACAAAACCAATCTCTTATATTAATCACGACCGATCGAAATACTTATTCGGTCAACGCAGATGTACGATAATACACATACCTATAAACTATCCGACAATCGCGATTCCGGCTGACAATAATTATCGTACAGGTGTAACAGGAAAACGTAACAGCTCGGTTGCGGTCAGACGGCTGACGATGATGACAGTAATTGCCGAGAATTAGCGACGTTAATAACCCCCTCCAGGCGGGTGGAAGAGAGAGAACGCGCGTTTGCTCGATGCGCGGACACTTACCGGGCTGTTCGGCGCGTTAATGTAACACCCCGATAAATCCCAAGCGCGCCCGCGTTATTTTGCTCTTTCGCATCGTCGGATCCATTCTCCCGCCTTTTCTCTCTCTCTCTTGCTCGCGTCCATGTTTTTTGTTTTATTTCCATCGCGCGCCCGCGAACGACAACGCCCGGCCTCGTCATAAACGCGCGGGTTATTAATCGCGGCGCCGCGTGGCAGGAGCGAGCGTGTCGACGGTACGGCATTTCGATTTTATAAATATGAGACCGGATACACACGCGCGCGCGCGCGCGCACGCGATAATACCGTCTGATAATAATAAATCCCCGTCCGTCCGCGGCCAGCGGAAGCGATAAATCCCAACCGAATTAAAAGTATAACGGCACGATAATAATCATCGTCGTCGATTCGGGAAAATACATATAGCGAGACGGCATCCCGCCGTATTTCAAAGAGCGTGTCGAGTGCTTACCTCCAAGATATCAGGGGCATAAAACGCCGGATAGGACAGAATCGCGAGCGCGCGCGCGCGCGTATTGCGATTTCCTATCGGAATTTATATTCCATCGCTCGGATACCACATTTCACACGATATATATCTCGCGCGGCCGTACCAATATCCTCGTGGAGAAAGTCCTGAAAGAGTTATGCTCCTCATTCAACCTTAATATGTATGTAACTTTACTGCGACGCAGTAGACTTCCTAGAGGAAATCCGCGCCGTATATAGAAAAATCGCCGTTCCGTCTCTCCGAATATTATATCCCTTTTTGCCCCCTTTCGCGCGATTTCTATCAATATAGAGTTTTACACCCATATTTTTCCACGTATATCGCTCTTCTCCTGTATATTACTCCGTTTTTAAGTACGAACGCTACGATATGTCGAGGCAACAATTTGGACACGTGTTTAATTATCGTTTAATCTACCTTTAACGTTTGCGCGAACGCGTCGACGACGTCGCATATATTCGTTCGAGTATGTTTCCCGTTGAGATAAGCAACCTGCTACCTGACTCGCTACTAGTTTTGTAGACCTGTCGTGAGGTCTTATTCATGATGCGAGGGACGCATCCTGCCGGAAAAAGGAGAGGAGATGCAAAGAATGGGCGAGACACAAAGCGGACGTGCGCGACGGGAGCGGAGAAAATAACGGGCTCACACAGCTGCTAAATATTCAATAAACGTGAGCATTACACGTCGCTGCACGCCTACGCCAAGGATAGATTATGAAGGAGGCGTAGAGTTGAGGGGGCGAGACGATCGAAGGCGGACGAAGAGAAGCAGGATCGATTCATTCATTCTACGTGATCGAGATTCTTGTTCAATAGCGTGTACAGAATGCTTTCTCTAGGACACTCGGAAGTTACGTCGTTGATATAGCTGGCTTGTCGATAATTCGACGAATCCATTTGAACGTCGCTTTCAAAACGATGAGATATAATACTTCTCAAACCCTCCGCGAATCGAACATCTATTCTCAAGATAACAATGACAAAAATACGTGTCATTTTTTTCTTCCTCAGATTTATATATATATATAATTAAAGATCGAGGCCAACTCTCGTCGAACATTTGATTTCGACCCGACATGTCTTATAATTAAAAGATTGAATCTCGTTGTCGATCGATTAACGCGTTTCTTTCTTTGCTGCCTTCGCGAGCCTCGTCGATTTTAAATTATTCGATTGGGCACGACCTTTCTCTCGTCGTTCTAAAAAAATAAAATAAAATAAAATATATAGAAATAAAAAAAGAAAAGCTAGCGACGCTTCGAAAGAAAATGAAATCAACGTTTCGCGGTAGTTGTCGCCGACGACGAATGTACACGTGCGAGAAAATAAAAAATTCAAATCGACCGTTTGACAAGATGAATATGGATGCGATGCAAAAGGAACTTGACTACGAAATCTTTGTAATGCAAATTTTCGAAATGAATCCTTACTGAAAAATAATACGTAGACGCTAGTTGTATGCAAAGTTGTATGCAAAACAAAAAAACTCATTTGATTTGATCGCGCAACGCGAAAAGAAATAGAAAAAAAAAAAGTCTCCGCGATTTACTCCGAGTGCTTCTCGGAGAAACACGGTAATCTCAATAGTTTGTAATAAAAGTTTTGCTGCTCAATCCGGTTGTTTTCTCTTTTTTCATTGCGCAAGACTTTGCGCGAGAAGCAACCCCGGGAACCTCGGTCGCGCTATTTGCATATTATTACCTTGTTTACATATTTATTCAATAGCCAAGATCCCGGAGGGTCGCCCCGTAATCGGACCATCATTCGGCCCTTTAATTTCGGATTAAAGCCTGGGCGCACACCAGGTGCCAACTGAGCGATTAATAAATCACCGTCCAAACCCACGTCGATCATATTCGACATATATATATATCGTTCTTTCTCGTTTCGACATTTTCAAAAATATAAACAGAATCGAACCCCTTACCTGTTTGTGCATCTCCACGTTGAGCCCGTACGACATCTCGTAATACTGCAAAAGTAAACGAAACAAAGAGATTAGAAACGTAATCGCACAAGTTATATCGATATTACACGTAATTAGTATAAGCATAATTGTGTAACTGAATACATCGTTATATGCGTTTCGTTAAAAGCGACGTTGACGTTAAGCGTAAGGTGATGCGTGCATAAACTGCGTAACGCGGTCTTTTCATGCAAAAGCTGAACTTTGCCGGAAGGTTGCTTACACGGAACCCATTTCACGCATTTACATTACAGCTTTGTCATCTTATATATCCTTTCTAAAAACGATTGTACGCAAATTTTCCGTCAATCAGAATAGCTAGAAATATTCGAATAAATTTGCGCCACGAATGCAATGTCACACAGAGTGCACACAAGTTCTATGCGCGTATAGACAAAAATGACAAACGTTATTTTTGCCTTTTATCTCGTTGATAAAACGCTAGGTTCAGCGCGAAATGGTTGTATTCGTAACGCGATTCGAGTACAAATAATGAGAAAAATTAGCGTATAAATATCACACGTTTAAGATAAAAAAAAAAAAAAAAAAAGGCAAAGCCGCATGATTAATCGGATTATCGAGTTTCGTGCACCAAGATGTTGCTTGAATCCGTAATGACGGCCGCGCGGGAAGAACGCCTCGCTGAGGATCCTTTAAGAGCCCCTTTGCGATTGCAGGGTTGAGATTATATCGATCAAATGAGATTACGAGATTACGAAAAGCGGACCAAATTGAGCCGTAATGCGAGACCGCAGCCAGTCGGTAAGAGGGATAAGCGCGTCGAGAGAAAATGAGAAAAAGGAAGACGAGAAAGGAACAGCTCTCTCGCCGCCTTCTTCTCCGAGAGGTGAAGAGAGAGAGAGAGAGAGAGAGAGAGAGAAGAGACGACTTGTATGCGAGCGCGCGAGCGCAGAATACACGTGTGCGTGTGAGTGTCGAGCAAAGACCGGTTTCTCGTAACATCGTTTCTACATCGTGTGTACAAGACTCAGAGCCGGGGCTCTGGCTTTAACTAATTCGCTCACCGTGCAGCGGTTCTCATTTCGCACGCATGAGATTTCCGGTCGTAAAGATTCGCGACGGAATAAACGTTCGCGCGTACTTAGCGAGAGAACGAAGAAGTTATTATTGTCGATATATTCTTCGCGAATGCTGCGTCGATGCGGTCACGCGCCGAGAGAGAGAAAAAAAGGAGCGTGTAACGACAATCGTCGAGGAGGAGAGGAGAAAATCCGACAGTTTGCGATTTTAACGAGCGTCTTGAATATAGTCGCCGGCATTATTCCCCGGCAGAATCAACGACCGTTGTGAAACGGACTTTATTGCCCGGGGGTCGTAAAAGAGCGCACTAAACCGCGTTTTAATATATCGGCGCAGCTACGACATCACAGTCGGTTTAGAGTTTTTCTCGCGGATACGGTATAAGGGGAACCGTAAATGTAATAAACGCCCGTTAAGACGGAGGTTAAGGGGAAAGAAGAGGAGGACCGAAACGCGGTCGAAGACGGTCTCACGCTATATCGAACCCGCCGAATGTTCGCCGACGTTCACAATTTTAGCGAGACACCCCGACAGTAATATATACGTATAAAAAAAAATATATACATATACATACATATATATCTATTTCGCGCAATGCGGTAGAATTATCGTTAATACTTTAAATGTGAGCAAATTCGTCTGAATGAATATTTTACGAGCCTGCTTCGGACAGGCCGTGATTAATTAAACCCGTTTGTTTTAATAATTCGATATTCATTCGGCGCGGTTTATCTTCGAAATTACGATTATTTTGTAAATTGTGAGCGCTACAATGTATATAGAGAAAATACAAATGTAGAGAGAAATTTGGCCGCGCGCACACGCTTTGCTTTTAAATATAAATTAATTCGCCCATATTTTTATTCCATTCGCGCTCACGAGCATTATCAATAAATTGCGAAATGTATATTTCAATCGGTTCTGTTCTTGCGAAAATAATAATTTCGTTGAAAGCTTGTAACCTACGTTAGCGTATAGGATAACGTAATTATATATTTAAATTCATCGCGATTTTACGCTAAAATGCCGCGAGAGGAAGAATAAAAAAAGAGAGAAAAGCGATTTAAAAATCTACTAGCGATATATATATATATATATATTTTTTTTTTCCCGTATTTCTCGTCGTATATTTTTCCGCTCCGAGATATCTTATATTTTTTAAATAAATTGTCTTCTTTTTTCGCGTATTTAACGTCTGGAACTTAGCTCGGCTTCTTTCTTTCTTGCGTGGCATTTGGGCGGATTTACGGAGAGAAAGAGGATGACAGTTAAAAAGTGCAGACGGAGATTGTCTCGCCACATCGGAGTCCGTTTCAATGAAGTAATTGGCCTTTAATTAATAGACCTGGCGAAGGAGACTGTTGGGAGGTCAAGATCTTAATTATCACGAAACTAGAAACACTACTCCCGTGGTCGAGACATCTAATCCAAGTAGTGAAACAGCGTAAACAGGGGAAGACGTATAAATTCGATAACAGTATTTATCGAGAGACACTATCCATACTTTCAATATTTATACGCATTTCATCGCGCAATCTTTTTTTTATGCGCCAGTAGTCGAGAAAGAATACACTGAAAAAAATCCATGTACTTTTACATGGAAATTACTAGCTCAGAACTGGAAAAGTTACTTGCTTATCGTTGTAATTTTTTTTCCATTTGTTTTAAAGTGAAAATACATATTAATGTGAAAATACATGTAAAATATAGATAACATTACTATTTTTATGCAAAAATCATATGTAATTTTAAATTTACCATTTTTACTTTATTAAAATTTTATTTTATAAGTATTTATCTATTTTATTTATAACATTATTTTATAGCATTTATACATTCCTAACATTTCCTATGTGTAATTACATGTTCAGTGAAATATTTTTAATCTTGAAAATATTTAAGAATATATTTCATATGAAATTACATATAATCTGTAATCTTCCATGTAAGTATCAATATTGCATGATTATGCTGGGTCGGAAAAAAACCTAGCTTAATCATGTAATTTTACATAAATATTTTTTCCAGTGTAGCATCATCTCGGTGTGTATTTTTATTTCCGACGCGTCTTTTCATCTCTGCTCTTAAAGTCGCGGAAATAAATCGAGCCTTCACATCCAACTGAATTTTCATCCACTCACCAGAAAGCGGTGTGTCGAGAAAAATTCGGATCGTTATTATAGCTGAAAACTTACTCCATTGCGGTACTCGGCTCCGATTCGCGACCGATTTGATTGTGCGAAAACGATTCCCACAATCTCTTTTCAATTCTCGGCCATCCGAACGATATCGATCACGATCGGTATCTACATACTCCCTCTCTCTCGCAAAGAGAGAGGGAGAGAGATCCTTATCGTACGCTCCGTCGTCCCTCAATGGAAATCGCTCCTGTTACGAACACACTTTAAGCGATGCCGACATCTGACTCTGACCGCATACGACTTGCAAATTTCGCCCTCGATGTAGCCCCGTTCCGCGGTCGATTCCAAGCTTTGATTTAATCAAGAAAAACATACCACACGACGATATATATATATATATATATATGTACAGGCACGAATGTAACTATTTACGCTCGCGTATTCATGCTACTGCGTAATGATTCGGTAAATTCAACGAGATGCGAAGGGCTTTTAATCCTCTCTGTCTCTCATCCCCCGAACACGCGCGCGCGATTTTCTTCTCGTACCCAATGTTATTTTTACATCTAATGGAGACGTTCGGGGAGAGTCACTCGACTGCGGCGCACTTCGCCAACGGAAACACGAAACGAAGGACGTACTTGTACTAATGTATGTATCGGGCGGTATCGAGCGAGCGCTCGCTCGCGATTCGCGTGCTCGTAAAAGTCCACGAGCTCTCGACAATTACACGAAAGAGTCGTAAAGGCGTCGTAGTACGGTATATAACGACTTTGTGTGTACCTTCGTCTGCCAGTCATCCTTCGTCCGATCGCTTTAGCAGCTGGAGATGCGCCGCGACGTCGCGAAAAATTCACGGGGAACCGTATATTATTATATTCTCGACTGACGTCCGTAGAATTTTCTCCAGGGAGAGGCGCGATTAAAAAAATTTTTTTTGTTTCTTATTATTCTTTCTTAGGTTTTCAAATTCAATTTTTTATTATTTTATTTTGATATTTTTTACGTCAAATAAAATTGCAAATAAATTCCAGGGTTTATTCACAAGGAGAGCAAATGCCCTCCCATGTCGACTGTATTACTCTCGGTGGTAGTGATTCGGGAAAATCATCGTAATCCGACGACGAAGAACGATGAGAGGTCTTCTTACGAGGCGATTACCGAGTAAAAGATCGTAACGCGATACTTTAACCCGGTGTTCGCCGGTGGTCGACGAGGAGGGTCGAAGGATGCGTTCACGCAATCCGTACGGGTACCCGTAGAAATCGATGATTCGCGCGACCTAAAACCGTTTAGCCGACTGACGCGAGTATACCTACATACATACCTGTTGCTAGTTAACGCCGGCCTAAACTCGATACTACGATAAATTCTTGTTACGTCGGTAATCAATCATCAATGATAAAACGGCGCGATAGAACGATAGCGCAATAAATATGCTTTCGTGTGCTCGTCAATCGAAATTTGATTAAGTGCATTCTGCGGTTTCGTTATGTTTCGCGCCGACGTTCGTTACAGCGCGGTGAACAGAACAATAAGCGCCATATATGTATGTATATATGTAACGAAAGTGGGATAAAGTGTGATATGTATACACATTTAGAGGCTGTCACACACGCGAGCGCGAGTCGCGGGCCGATCGATCGCGCATCGGGGATAAAAGGGATCGAACGTAGAGCCTAGGCGAAGATCGATCGATCGTTCGATCGGGGAAGCATACCTATGGGTAACGCAGCTCTTGTACGTCGTACGTATACGTACGTACGTATGTACGTGAGACGATCGCACGATTAATCTTCGTGTCGGCATGAATCGGCGGAAGTGCCACGTCCACGCGAGAGCGAGCGCCGCGCATTTTATATCGAGTTATTTGCATCCAACGCGCGGCCGCGCGTTATAGGACTACGGCCTATAAATTATCGCGCGCGCCTATAATGCACGCTTCGCGAGGCTTTGCCTCAACAAACTTCGCACCGTAAACTTACGGCCGCGAATAGATGCGCGCGCGAGCGATTCCATCGTTATTTCCAGAGTGAATTTAGAAAACGCTCGACTTGGAAACGATAAATATTTTTCTCATAAAAGTCTTCGAGATATGTATGTACACTTTAATCTTTAGACTAGATCTAGATCTTATTTGCGATTTCCTGTGTGGACGGACGCACTATATAGGTAGATACAATTTGAAAATTATCGCATTACACGAAGACACGCGTTAAGATAAGCATCTCTATACGAACGTACACATATTTCTCATTTTTTTGTCTGAATTAATAGATGGGAAAAAATGTAGATGCCGAGATGTCACGGCACAACTGGCGTGAAATTAAAAGCCGGTATTCTTCGACCTCCCGCGAAGAAAGTGGTGCACCTCTTCACGCTTCACGGAGCTTAATGAAGACGCATACACGGTGACGGTGTATCGCGATAACGAAGATCTACGAGCGAAAGCAAGCCGCGACTCTACCGCGTCTACGTGTACATGTTATATACTCTCGTGGGACAAAGCCGAAAAACAAAGCCGGAAGAGGCCACAATGGCGAAGAAGCATAACGTGGCACGCGCGCAGGATGTAGCCCCCAAATTACTTTGTTTTATATCGCAAGACAAATATTCGTTTTATCGCGAGTCAGACGTCAAAAGATGTATACACTTCAATTTTTTGAAGCGTGTAATTTAAACGTGTTAAAGAATTAAAAAAAAGAAAAATTTATAAATATGTATAGATACATAAAAAAAATTACGTTTTAATATATCGCAATATTGTATCGTGGCGCAAATTTAACGAGAGCGAGCTAACCGTAGAATTTCGCGACGCTTCAACGCCAAGAGATAATAAATGGACTTTACGATGAGGATTCATCTTTAGGCGCGTTCCTTTTTTTTTTTTTTTCCCCGACAAGTACGATTACCGTCGATTTGTTCTGCAATAGGTTCTGTAAGCTTGTAGACTCACCATGACGTAGTGGCGCTGCATCTCCGTCTTCTCCTGGGCGAGTTTCTCCAGCTCCAACTTAATACTGGACAGAACAAGCAGGAAATCACACGTGTAAGCTAAACATTAGTAAGTGCAGGCGACATTCAAAAGCTGTGGAGGCAAAATAAAGGAGAGCAGGGGAGCCTCTATATACCTTTCGCTTTAATAAATCGGGGGAGAGAGTTTTGCGGCACATTTCGGCCATATAATAGAGAACATAACGCCGGATTAACCGGAGGGGATTATCGAGACATCAACGAATCGAGGGGTCTGACTTGGGTTCCGTGGCGAATATGAGGAATGCGATATCATGTTTGAAAACGCGTCGTTCGATGTATAATAACGATTCGTTTAATCTATCCCGGATTTTTTGTTCGCACGTGCTCTCTTTTAACCTTCCGAACCGATTCGTTCCTTCCACGCCCCCAAATTGAGGGATATTGCGGAGGGGTGGTGCACAGCCAAGCCATTAAAAACACACAATTAGTGCAGCCGCAACAAACATTGATTATAATTGTTATATACTGGCCATTGTGTATATACGTGTTTGTGTGTACATATGTGTTTGTGTGAATATATATGTACGTATATTTGCGTATAAATTTCATCAAAGTGGATCGTGGAAAATATCGCGAGTGTCGCGATTGCGAAAGCGAATAATTTATAAAAACGCATTTGTGGAATTTACGTCGCGTTCGATTAACGAGGAAGCCGCGTATATGTAAATGCAAACGATAGCGCGGCGTTAGACGAAATTATTATCCTCTAACGATAATTAAATAACATCTACCGCGAAAGGGGCGTAATCGCGAGAAAATTTGCGCGCTTAATCTGCCTCTCGTCCGGAAAGAAAGTTAATATGAAATCAATACGAGAATCGAGCGCGGGAGCGGCAGTGCGCAGGTTCATTAAGAGTTAATCCTCGTCGCGTCGCGCTTTTCACCGACGCGTTAAAGCGCATATTAATATTCACTTGGTCGACCGCACCGCGTGTATTATACCCGCGATATCGGAGAGCGGGACAAAGACCCCGTCGTCACATCCGCGGTGGCGATAACTTTTTTAACGACGACAAGCCCGCGCCATATTTTTGTTTAGCGCGGCTGCTATCCCGGTGCAGAGGGAAATAATCTCGCGGTGACGACAAAACCGCTTGTGTACCGCGGCAAATGAATGCGTTCGTATGCCTGTAACGCTCGAGTGCATCGCGATGCTGATGCTGCTGCTGCTGCAAGCTGCAACTGCCGTGGTCGCTGTTCCACAATCGCGTATATATATTTGGCGATAACACATGTGTAGCTGCAGCGTCTCTGTGTGTGATCCATGTTTTTCTCTCTCTCTTTTCGCAGTTCTCAGTATTTTCGGCTCGCTCGGGTCGCGATGATAATTTCACCGTTTTCGCGTTTTTCTTTTCTGTTTATATATATATATATATATATGTATGTACGCGCGCCCACAACCCCGGAATTATACCTCTGACATTACTTTGCGGATACATGTTATTTTTCTTCTAATTGCGCTCCAACCTACGAGAAAAAGCAAGTTACAAAAGTACCTACGCGTGCGTTTTTACTATACATCGCGATTTCGGAGAAAATTCATCTCGCCGGCAAAGTCAAATCGGTTTTGTTTTTTATAATTTCCCGTCTCTTTCAGCTTCTTCGCAATTCGCTCGCGAAAATTGAAATAGCTCAACCACGACCGAGTGGATATCGCTCTCGAATTCACGCGCGACGAAAACGAATGCATTTTAATTCGGGAACAACGGCAGGGTGATTTATATGATTCTGTGTGTATCCATGTATATGTGCGCGTGTAATGTACGTGTATAGGTATATGTAAAACGCGCTGCCCCTTTCTATATACGTTCTCATCTTTCTCCCGGCTTACCATCACGTAATGCCTCTGTATCTCTATTTTTTCACTGGCCAGTTTCTCGCACTCCAATTTAAGGCTGTGTAAGAAGAACAAGAACATTAATATCCAGCAGCCCTCGAAATCGTCGGAGCCATTGTCTCTCCGCGCGTCATCCTTCCTCGCGACATTAAGTTAAAAACGCGCCGTATATAATACGAATGTGTATATATATATATATGTATCGCAAAAATAAAAATTCATCTTACTGCGTAAAAAACTTCAGCGACAAAAACAAACGGAATAAAATTTTTTTCATTATCGAGTCAGAAAAAAATTGCTTTAAAATTTCTTTCTTTTTTTTTGTTCTAGGAAAAATTCAAAAGCCGCGTAATACCGGACGCGAAACCGTCCGTTAATTTGATTCGAGGAAATGGTAGAATGCGCGCTCGAGGTAATTCCGACGCGGCGTTTAATAATCGTGAAAGCCGAATCAAAGTATACGCTAGACGCGACGCAATCTCATCTATAAGGCGATAAATTAGCACGGTATTAACGATCGTGCTCGCAAGCGGCAACTCTCGTTACGCAAGCGGCAATACTCGCACAGTCGGAGAGTCGATTAATTATTTCAGATTGACGGCGTGCCAACGATTTACGAGACGATTTATCGAGAATCACGTTGCGCGCTTAAACACGCGCGATTACTACACACGTGACCGAGATATAGGCTCTCCGTTTCACGCAGTCGGACACGTTTTTACCTTTCCGTGATTAATATCTCAATCCGCGAAATTTATGGTTATTGTTCTCATCGCAGTGTTTCTAAATGTACAATTTATTTTCATTTAAACAAGTTGTATCGATATCGCTATTTTATTAATCATTTTTCTTGTCATACTTTACACGCGTTAAATCTTCGTATAAAACTGGAATCGATTATCCTTCCACGTATCACGATTCTACCAAACTCTGATTAGAAGAAATAATAATTGTATGCCAACGAGCGCTTTTTATCAAATCTGTCAAATGCGCGTGACGCGACGTCAACACGTGCACGCTATACACATAGACGTGGTGTCCAAACGCTCCTTCCTTCTCCGGGCCGTGCGCATACTTGGATGTACACAGCTTCCGGTCGGACAAACAATTATCTGCCTACGCCCGTCGTCGTCCGTGCGCGTTTTGCGCGCGCGCCTACGCGCTATTTGTACGCGCGCCTAATGGATACGATGTCTATAGGCGCGAACTCGCTTACTCCCTTCGACAAACTATTAATCGCTGAACGGAGTTTACATCGCGCTCAGCTATCCGCGTCGGGAAAATGTCTGGCTTTGCTGAGAAAACGGGGATCCCCGGATAATTTTGCTTAAAGTGAGATCGACGTAAATTTTGGGACAAATATCTCGACTTTTACTCAAAGGTATATCGATCAATTTAATCATAATAAAATATATCGTCGCGCATTCTTCAAGAGAAAAATTATACAAAAATTTACGTCGATAAAGAGGTTTCGCAGACAATGGAGACGTACGTTTTTATTATAATGTTGATTGAATGATTTGTAGTAAATTTACTTTAGTTTCTTTTTTTAATGTTATAAAAGAAATAAAATTAAATCATTACGTACATCCCCGATTAACTGCAGTTTATAATGTTTGTGGATATTAAAGAAAAGAAGGATACCTGTGGTACTGGGCCTGCAAGAAATTGAACTCCTCCTTGATACGATCGCAGGATTCGCCTACTGAAAATTTGAACGGCTGTCCAGGCTGCGGTGGACCCTGCAACACAAAAACACCATTAAATGTATCAATGCTCCGCAATCCCTTAACGCCATTAAAGCTCGTAATACCCCAAGATTTATTCGAGAGACTTTAGTCTCTCGTTTATTCGCGGGTAACACGAAATCGATATATTTACAGGGTCGGGGGCAAAAAATGCACTTATTGTTTTATAGACGAAAGACAACGCCGTATCTCATGAGAGAATTAATTTTTCTTTCTTTTTTTTTAATTTTAATCTATGATATATTTATATTCGTTTATTGTTTTATCTGCTATTAATCGATATTTCTGTATTCTTCGTACTAAAACTGAAATTTGAAATCATTTTTGCAGAGTTTCGCCAGATAATAATTTTAATTTTCCAATTTTGTGATGTTTATTTCACTTTCGCACGAAAACTTTGGTACATAATTATACTAGCAATTTTATTTATTAGAAACGTTAATTTTTCTAATAATTACATTTCTTATATATCTCATTTATACTGGATATTTGCATAATTATTTTTTTTATACACTACATTATATAAAACACAAACGTAACGATAAATAGAGGATAATGTAAAACTTGTTCCAAACAGCTCAACGAGTTTCTTATCGATTGAAAGAAAAGACCTTTAAAATCATGCTATTATTCTCAATCGAACCGGCGACCACGCTGCTATTTACGTTTGAGTTTAAGGATTAAACTTGTGCTCAACTACCTGAATAAACACAACTTTAATTTTAAAAGCAGCATGTCTCGTCGCAAACGTTATTCTTTAATTCTACACTTATATAATTTCGATAATCACTTACATAAGTTTATATTCGTCATTTTATTAAAAAAATATTGTTTAAATATATATTAATTTTGAATAAACAATACAAAACAATTCAAGATCGCTAAAAAAGACTAAATGTGGAAAACAGCGATTTGAAATCTCTACTGTTTTTCAGCTCTATTAAAGTGTGTTCCAAAGTTAATTAGTTATATATCTATACCAATTATAGAATTCGATATCGCAAGATGCGTTATCTCTTTTTGCCGCGATGCAGTGTGCTGTAGCAAATGTCGACTGACTTTGGTGGCTGCTGTATCAGCGCCCACGAGCGTAAAAGCCACATTATTACCGGTGCTACCCACCTCCGTATACCTGTTAGTAATAACGTTACGAGCGTGTTATCGATCGTTTTGCACGTCGTGCCCCGCAAAACGGATACGCCACTATGGCCTCGTAAAAGCCGGAATAGCTCCTCCTCTCCCTTTCCCCCACGTCCGATCGTTCTCTCGTGTCGTACGATCTAGATTCCACGGCGGCCAAAGAATGCCGGAATCGCGGTGTTTCGTGCAGAAACTCGCTAACGATTCGCTGACGATCGCGACCGCGTAATGAAAATCGTGCCAAAACTCGTAAAATAAAGATCAACTCCCGGACGCATTATTGCGCTAATGACTTGTACGTGACATCGGCCAGTCCACACGGTACATCCCCAACTCGATAACAAAAATAAACATAAATGTTCAACAAATCGATATATATACATGTACGTATATATTTTCCTTTTTTTTTTTACATGTATAAATCTCGCGCCTTATTTTTTTATATTTCTAAAAAAATGTGTTCTATTAGAAACATATTTCTAATTTCTGTAATATTTTTTTATTTCTGATTTATATATTTTATTTATTAAACGAGTAATATTCTTTGCGAGAGAATAAGTAGCACGGTGTAATTCTCTCGGGCGCGCCGGTGTGTCTTAACGTGCGGTAGCCCTTTTGGAGAAGACCTTGTAGCTACTTGTATATAGTCACCGCAACGTGTTTTATTAATCTTCACGGTTTCAAGTCAAGCTACTCTCCCGACATGTGCATTATCGCACATGTATGTTCCAATTACGCCGGAGGATTTGCGCGCCAGGCGTGTAATATCTTTAAACGGCTCAAAAACCCGGGATGAGCGAAGCCGTACCAGACAAGGTTGCGCATCTTGCTTCCTCGCGGGTTTGCTTGAGCGAACACGCGGCATGCATATACATATACATACATTCTCCGTGATTTTTTTTAAACGCGAAGTTACACGCGAGTAGAAATTTTCTCTCATTTACCGAACATTAAGGAACGGAAAAGCAAAGTTAACACGAATTGGCGGACAGTCGATCGCAGCTAAATCGCTGATCCGATTTGTATGCGACAAGTCGCACGACGGTCAATCCAATTAATTTATCAGCTTTCGCTCCTACGGAACAAGGCAATGGACGTCAGACCACGATGCGCTGCTTGCCATTTTCCGGTGCAGCTCGTTAACAGATCGATACTGCAAGACTGCGGCTCCGAATCGGAATATTGATAATCGTAAAACAGATTTTTATTCGATTAATTGCATTCGCGATTCTTATAAATTATTACTCGCTGACATGACAAACAGAGCACAGCTATGCAATAAAGATGTGAGAATATCGAAAAAGTAATCTTTCATATTAATATATACATATACCGAAAGCACAGTGACGTCTTGTCGATAGACGGGCAAAAAAAAAAGAAGAGAGAGGAATAGTTCTCTCTCTCTGGGATTGTTTGCAAAACATTGATCGTTTTTACCTTTTTAATCGAACGAGGCTAACGATCGATGGCCTTTCGCGAGAGACGGGAAAGCAACACGCGCGATTTAGCGTCCGTCGAAAAGCGAAGCGCGCGCGAATTATGTCGTTTCGACGAATAATGAGAGAACGTAGCCGTCGCGCACGTCAATCAGTGTCCTTTACGTGTCGCGGCCGATTTAATTATCCGATAGCCTCCTCTCTCGCGCATCATCATTCCCCCCTGCCACCCGTCCCTCTCTTCTCACGCACCGCGCGTTTTTTTATTTTCCGCGCGATCGAGAGCCCCGGCGCGTTCGCGCACGAGCGTTATTCAAATCGCGCGTTATCGTCCCGACAAGACCGTGAAAACGATAGCCAGGTCCGGATAACGACAAACAAGAATTGCATGGCATTAAAGCGCAACGACCGCGCTTTTATTGGTTTTTCGAGTCTCGCGCGCGACATTTAATACATCGAGGGCCGGCATGATACCGGATTGCCGTTTCGCAATATATTATCGCGAACGGCTCAATGGAGCGAGGAGGCCGCTCAATGGACGTTCGTTAAAGCCGACGACGGGCGACGTCGCCGTTTACGGACAACGCTGCCCCTGCGACAAAGAGGGATATAGAGGGAGAGAGAGAGAGGGAGACGACAACCCGGCCACGTCCTAACGCTAACAGCAACTAGACCCAATCGGTTGCGTTTGCAGCCACTCAAGTACGCTTAAGTGGCGCGTATCGCCGCATCTAATTACGTTACCTCCATCGATCGCGCCGTCCGTCATCCACTAGATGCCTGATTATCGGCACGTATTATCGGACAGGTTAACTGCTCTCTACGGTGTCCCCGCCTGTGAGATCAAATCCGTAACCAAACACCAGGCACGCGCGCGCTCAAGTGCCAAGAACATTTGCTCATCTCGAGATACGCTATAAACGGACTTGCATTAGTACGTCTAATGCAAGTTGAAATGCTGCTGTATTAATTAGACCTATGTCTATATTGGAGATATTCTCGAAAATAGAAATTAATCAAATTTATAATCTATTGTAATATTAAAAATCTTGAATGCACACGTATTTCGATTTACGCGCCAAGTTATTTTATTGAAAAAAAAAAAGTATAAAAACTTTTATTAAAGATATGTCATTGACATTTGTTTCTAAAAGAATAAAAAAAATGGGTAACGAATTAGTGACATTTACGACGCAAGATTCGAGAGAAACATCGATTTGTATCACCGGGAGCATCCGATATAGCACGCTAATCAAAGAGACGGTAGTCCTGAGAGTTGGTGGCCGGGCGTATACTCGTCCGCTTTACTTAGAGACTCTCGTGAGAAACTCGCTAAGCCATAGCGGGATTACGCAAAAGGACGACGCAAACACAGGGAGAACGGACGGGAAGAGCTTCGAGAGGGTCGGCGGTTTTCGTCGTACCGCAAAACCACCGACTCGTGGCGCGGATTCCAAAACCACCCGGCGACCAGAACCGACCGCGTTCGCCCTATAAGCGAACCTCCCTCTACCACTTTCCGTTATTCCGTGAGAGAGCCACTGGTCGCGAAATATCGTCGAAATATCGCGCCGGCCAGAGAATAGATATTGAAATACGCTTCATCCTCGTAACGATGTAAGTACCGTAATCTAAATTTCCTGAGAATATATTTGATATATCGCGCGCACGATAATCAACCGCAATCAACGATGTATATATATATATATATGTAATGAGATGCTCCGGTTTATAACATTATTTTTTACAATTTCCGCAACAAATTGGTCGAAAAACGATAACGTAAATCGAGATGCCCGGGTATATGCATACAAACCGATTGCGAGCTCGGCAAACCCGAGCACGATCGAATACTGAAATTATGCAACGCGATAACAATTCCTGTAATATCGCCAGACAATACGCCTCAAGATTTGCATGAGGTGCGGAATGAGAATACACGGAAGGAGAGAGAGAGAGAGAGAGAGAGGGAAACGGACGTACGAGCGGTTGTATCTTATTGATCATTATGATTATTCCCCGTAGCAGACTGCGAATTCGCCCCGAGACTGCGGGGCACGACCGCTATTTGCATAAGCAATGCATTTTGATTCGTAGACCCACATTGTACTCGGCACACGGGGAATGACATAAATAATGTATAGAATAATGATAGCGCGCGCGGCGCGCCGCGAAAGCGAGTCTCTATCGCAAAACGAGACGACGCGATTTTCGCGCACGTAATTCTTCGGTATGCTGAAATTGCGATGCGCCGCCGCGGCGCGGCGCATGCATTTCATCGTTCCTATTCTCGTTAACCATTACGCGCGCTATGTGATTTCCGCGGCGTGATTCGCGCGAACCACGTACACGCGTCTCGCTGTTCTACTCCGCGAATATACGAAATTTGTCAAGTGTCCCAATAAGGGGAAAAATATG